GCTGCGTTGCCGCCTCCCAGGTGTTTCTGATTACGTGCTTGCGGCCAGAAAAGGCTGAAGCCGGTTTCGTATCTGGCCAGTGCTGTGAGGAGTGGAGAACGAAACGCTGCCATAGTTGGAGTCAGTTACTTGGGGAGATGCCTTGTTTGGGATGGCAGGTGGCCTGTGTTCGCTGCCTGCGGTCTTGTCCCACGCCTGCTCAGCTGGGTCCGACTGAGTCTCCGGGTCGCTGGCGGGAGTTACAGGTTACGTTACTCCGAGTCATGCCCAGGTGTGAGGGTCTGCCTGGATAGCGGCAGTGGTGCCCTCCCCGCGGCACCGGGGCTGCCCCGCGGGGGCTGAGGTGCGGCCTCTCGGCTGGAGCTCCAAACTGATCTCGTCTCTCAGCAGCGGTGATCGCTTTTTTGACCTCTGCTACCACTAACTCCGTTACCCTCACTAGATTTCAGGTGGAGCGATTCTTCTCCTTGGGTGTCGCTGTGCCGGGAACATACGCTGCTCGCGTTGTTTCTCTCAGTATGGGCAAAGGCGTGTCCTGCGCTGGCTGCTCGGGTGATGCGGCCGAGCGCTAATGGGAGGCGCTTGGCGCTGCCGGGGGCGGCCTGACTCCTGTTCCGCTCAGGGAGCGGGACAGCCGCTGGGACCGGCATCCTGCCCGAGCTGCCTGACGATGGGATAGAAGCCCTTCTGGTTCCGTGGCCTCACCTGTGAGGTGTTGGCTTTGAGCACAGCGACTTTGAAGGACTGAATTTAACCTTAGAGCTGATCAACTGCCAAACGTTTTGCCTGGCAGTTTTTGCTTCCAGCTCCTCCCGAATCTCGCATACAGCTCAGCCGCTGGGACCGGCATCCTGCCCGAGCTGCCTGACGATGGGATAGAAGCCCTTCTGGTTCCGTGGCCTCACCTGTGAGGTGTTGGCTTTGAGCACAGCGACTTTGAAGGACTGAATTTAACCTTAGAGCTGATCAACTGCCAAACGTTTTGCCTGGCAGTTTTTGCTTCCAGCTCCTCCCGAATCTCGCATACAGCTGGCTTTCCCCAAAGGCAATCCCACTGGCACAGTCGTCAAAGATCACCTCTTTCTTTCATCACAGATGTAAAAGGAGGGACCTCAGTTCTGTTCACGCTTCTCCTACCTGTAGGTCTCCGAGACTGAAAAGGCAGGCATGCGTGCTCCTGCGTCCAGACACCTTGGCTGCAGAGCGTGCAGCAGGCTCTGCGTCCTCCATAGGCAATCCTGAAGATGTCAAGCCTGTGTTTAACCAGGAAAATGTGAATGAAACGCAAGGCTCAAATAGGTGATCTGGTCTTGCTGTGGGCATTTTCAAGGAGCTGCCTGAGCTGCTGCATTTCACTGCTGACAGTCAACTTCTACCCACGGTGGCAGAGTCCTGTGCATTCGTTCTAGCTGGGGACAAACAGGAGGTCTGCTGCATGCTGCTGCGAGCCCAGCCTGTGGTGGCACGGGAAACCAAGGCCCTCTTCTTGCTCGTGAATCACCAGGAGAATTGTAATTATTTTCCTGCTACACAGTCTGATCCTGCCTTTAATTAAATGTGTGTTGTCCTGCTTAAGGCGGTGGGTCTGTACCAGCAGGGTTTGACAGTTGGACTTGAAATTCTCTTAAGAGTAATGACATGTAAGGAGGACCCGTCCTTATCACTGGCACTTCCAGGATGGGAAAGGTTAGCAAAACCTCTGCTTTGGATCCCCTTAGCCTGTGTTGGAGCAGAAGTAACGCAGCAGGCACTGTTGGTGTGCTCAGTCCCTGCAGCAAAATCACCTGGTCCAAATGCCTCTGGCTCTGGGCCTTTGTCTTGGAGGCAGCCTGGGTTGTCACAGGTTGTTTTTTGAGGAAGAGGAGGCGCCTGAGACCCACTGGCTAGCAGAGCTTGGGAGCACCATGATGGTTTTGGCTGCAGAAGCAAGAAGGTTTTGTGCAATTCCAGTGTGAAAACCATGTTTACAGTGTAGAGCCAGTTCCTGGTCTCCAGATGTCTAAATTGTCACTGCCTTATTTCACAGACATTGGCCTATGTGTAAGATCATTGTGGCTCTACGGTTGTGTAAGTTGGTGTCTGTCTCCTCTTCCTCTGGCACACATCCTGCTTCCCTTCAGCAGTGCTGCAGCCGTCTCACCTTGAGAAATGACCCATCTTTATGAGGCATTTCATTGAAGCCTGCTTAAAGCGTGCTTGGCTGAGGGGAGAAACGTCCCTGCAGCCTGATGGCACTTGGCAGCTGCCCCCCTCCTGTCTGCTGTTTGCAGCAGGGGTCCTGGTGCCAAGGCAGCTTCCACGAGCTGTCTGTGCTGCAGAACAGCGTGGCTCCTTCTCCAGAGAAACTGGTAGAGGGGCCTGGGTGTCCATTTGCCCTCCTCCCTCCTTCTTGGCCACCGTGGAGATGGCTTTCCTCCAGGTACAGGTGGGAGCGTGGGGGCTGCCCACTGGAGGAGAGCAGCACGGTGATGCTGGGGAACAAAGACCCCCGTGTCCTAGTCCCCTTCCCCTGGGATTAGGCACGGTGCCTTTGGTGGGACTGACGTTTGGGGTGTGAAACAGGACAAATACCTCTGCCCAGGCACATGGGGCTGCTTCACGCCTGGCTCGGTGTTGCATGTTAGTGTGGGGAGTGCAAAGGGCATCTCCTTGCCTAAGCAGCGCAGGTGAGGGGGGAGGTGGAGTTCAGCCTCGGGTAGGCCAGAAGCCCTTTTGCTATGGCCTCCAGAAAGCAATGATTCAGCAGAGAGTCATGAAACTACCCTGGGCCTGGGGCCGACCCGGAAAGGGGGAGCCGTCTGCACGCAGCAGCAGCGAGTGTTTTCCAAGTCCCAGGCTTCAGCACCCAAGTGGCCTTCTCTGCTTGCTTGGCTGTGAAGATACATCTTTCTGCAGGTGGGAATGGAGCCGTAAGACATACGGGCTTGCGTTGCCATCATGTGAATCATGGATGGGCTCGGGGCTCTGGCCGTGTTCCAGGGACTCTGCGGCTGTGATTGCCGCAGGCTGGATGCCAGCATCGCGGCGCTGGCAGTCTGCACGGGAGGCTCAGTGGGCCTGGTAGATCTGCGACCCTGGCCCTGCTGTGCATCGTCGGACTGCTTGGGTCGTTCAGGGGCTGAAGCCCTTTCCCTCCCTCCTGCCAGAGCAGCGGGGCCAGCCCCACCGTGCCCCTTCGGAACGGCCAGCGGTGGCAGTGCAGGGGGGCGGGGGTTACCTTGTGCCGTTTGCCCCCCCGAGCCGGGCTGGCTCTTTGGCCGTTAATCCCATTTGGGGAATGGTTGGCTTTCCAGGCCTGCCCTCGGATTTTGTTGTTTCTGGGAAACGGCATAGTTGAGTGGTAGCTCAGAGGGTTTGTTCCGATCCTTTTATCCATTGTCCTTTCTCCTTTTTTCATGTTCTACCTCTTGATCTGACTGAATAAGCGAGCGGGGGGAGGAGGCAAGGCTCTGCTAAGCATTACTCTGCAGCAGAAGGGAAGCCCTTGGGGTGGTGTCCAAATTCCCAGCATCGCTATCTGAACACTGTGGCTCTCTAGGCTAACCGAGGAGGTCCATTAACCTCTTTTTCGTGTCCTGGGGCTTTGCTGCGGCCGCAGTACTAATGCTGGGAGCTTCACAGATAGGAACATCGACAGTCAGAGAGGCAGGATTGAGGTCTGGAGAAGGTACATCACGTCAGCAAGCTGAAGAAACTTGGTTGGAGGCACGCTAATTGCAGAGAGGAGGATGGAACCTCCTTCAGATGTTTTCTAGGGCCTCTTACAAAGAGACTGGGTTTACAAGGGCCCTTTATGACTTTGCTGAGTATATACATGCTGCGTGTGACTTTGCATGTACTGGATTGTTGTGCCGCTGTTCAGAGGGACCTTGACAGGCTGGAAAAATGGGCCAGCAGGAGTCTTGTGGAGTTCAACAAAGGGAAATGCCAATTTCTGCACCTGGGGAGGAATAGCCTCCTGCAGTAGTACAAGCAGGGGACTGACCACCCAAAAAGCAGAAACGCTGGGGGTCCTGGTGGACCACAAGTTGACCAGCAGTTGGGAGGAGCATTGCCAGCAGTCAAGGAAGGTGATCCTGCCCCTCTGTTCTGCTCTGGTGAAACCACATCTGGAAGACTGTGCCCAGTGCTGGGCTCTCCAGTGTAGGG